TTTCCTTCCTTCTTTCTTTTTTCTTTTTCCTTCCTTTCCTTTCCTTCTTTCTTCCTTCCTCTCCCTCCTTTCTTCCTCTAACCTCTTCCCTCCCTCTTCTTTCTTTCTTTCTTTCTTTCTTTCTTTCTTTCTTTCTTTCTGTCTTTGTCTTTCTCTCTCTCTCTCTCTCTTTCTTTCTTTCTTTCTCTTTTTCTTTCTTTCTTTCTCTTTCTGTCTTTCTCTCTTTCTTTCTTTCCTTCTGTCTTTCTGTCTTTCTTTCTGTCTTTTTCTTTCTTTCTCTCTCTTTCTTTCTGTCTTTTTCTTTCTGTCTTTCTCTTTCTTTCTTTTCTCTCTTTCTTTCTTTCTCTTTCTGTCTTTCTCTTTCTTTCTTTCTTTCTTTCTTTCCTTCTGTCTTTCTTTCTTTCTTTTTGTCTTTTTCTCTCTCTCTTTCTTTCTTTCTTTTCTCTCTCTCTTTCTTTCTCTTTTTCTTTCTTTCTTTCTCTTTCTGTCTTTCTCTTTCTTTCTTTCTTTCTTTCTTTCTTTCCTTCTGTCTTTCTTTCTGTCTTTTTCTTTCTCTCTCTTTCTTTCTTTCTGTCTTTCTCTTTCCTTTCTTTCTTTCTTTTTTTCTTTCTCTATGTTTAGCAAATGCTGAGAGCATAGGATCAATTCAGGCTGATCCAAAGGCCTTAGAATCTGTTATAATTACTAGTATTAGTATTACTCTTCTCCAGCCAGAAATGTGCACCCTTCAAGCACATAAAAAGGAATTAGAGGCTGCGATCAGAGAAAGGAAGAGGAATCAATAAATATGCAACGGGGGGGGGGGAGAGAAAAACCTCTCTGGAGATTTGGTCGCCCTGCATCCGTTAGTTGCCTGGGCTGGGAGGTCCATCAAGCACTCCGATCCTTTCTCTTCTGTCTCTTTCCTTTCTCTCTCTTTCTTTGATCCAGAAGAATGACAAAACCATCCTGGGAGAGCTAACCATTCCCCCCCCCCTCGGGAAAGTTTTGATCGGAGAGATTGAATATCTAGAATTTGGTGGTGGTGATGGGGTTTCAAAATGTCATCCTAGGTCCAAGAATTTGGTAGCCTCAGGTTGGTTTGTTTGTTTTTCTTTAATTTGGATGAGGAGGAGACCGACACTGCCGCTGCTTGGGGGGTCGTAATTGGACAATTATGTGCAGCCCCCCCGCCCCCGAGGGGGGGAAAAGAGAAATGGAAGGTGGGAAGCGAGGGGAAAAACTGGAGAGAGCTTATTAAATGCCACGGAACTCACTTCCGAATAAATCCGGTACACTCCCAACTGAAACTTTTTGATGGAGCCCAACTTGTGCATCCTTCCTTACAGGTAGCCTCCGTGCTTGCTTTACTCGGGAGTAAAAACCCGGGCTCCGGCTTAGCCAACGAAACTGCTTGTCCGTGGAAAAGCAGGCCGGTTCGGCATCTTAGCCTCAAGCCGCTGTTCTCTTTAGCAAGAAAATGGGGCGGCGGTTTTAAAAATTAGGATGTAACGAGACATCATTCCGGTCCGAGGACTTGAGAATTAAGAACGATCTCCCCCCCCCCCAAATAAGGCCAGTTTGGCGGGGATCGATCCTGCTAACGTAATTCATCGCCAGCCTCACCTGGCGGAGAAGTTTCTAAAATCGCTTGAACGTCCGGGGTGGGTGGATGGGTGGATGGATGGATGGATGGATGGAGGCGTCCAAAATTAGCTTTATCCGAAGATCCCAGCTTCTCCCCGGGTAAGAACGGCGGACACACGCTTGGTGGAAAAATACGACGAACCCCAAATTCGGTTCCCAGTCGATTCTACTATACTTCTTCTTGTTAACTAACCTCTTTCTCTGCCTCCTGGGAATTTTGTCTTCCTTAGCATTCAGCTCATCTCCCTGTGTGTGTGTCTCTTTCTTTCTTTCTTTCTTTCTTTCTTTCTTTCTTTCTTTCTTTCTTTCTTTCTTTCTTTCCTTTCTTCTTTCTTTCTTTCTTTCTTTTCTTTCCTTCCTTCCTTCCTTCCTTCTCTCTCTCTCTTTCTCTCTCTCTTTCTCTCTCTCCCTTACGCCCTTCTGACTAAAGGAAGCAAAATAAATAAACAAATCCCGACCTGCTGAATCGAACCTGGCCAGAAAGTTTCGCAGAGACTTAAGCGCCCCCCAGAGCCTCCGTACAGGGGCGAGCCGAGCTGTTGAGCCAGGACATATGACTGCTGCCGGGCGCAGACCTCGCGCTCCTCCACCTCTCCCCAAAGAAAGCTTAGAGGTCGCCTAAAGGAGACTTCGCCCGCCCACTCACCCACCGGGCTTGGGGGGGGGGGATGTCTGGTCCCAGCCAAGAAGCCCCCTTCGTCAAACAGGCTAGCTTTGCAGGCTGGTTCTCGGCCGCTTTGCAACTAAGGTGGCCCCGCGCGGGCATAGGGAGTGGCCTTTCATTTGTGAGGGTGGGCTCAGGGGTCGTTCCTTAGGCTGAAAGGGAAACTTCGGAAGCGCAGAAGGCGGAGGTGGTCGAGGGTTGGAAAGACGCATCCGTTTTCGTGGGGGCAGAAAGATATCAGAAATGCCTCTCCTGCAAGAAGGAGAGGGAAGGAAGGGAGAGAGAGAGAGAGAGAGAGAAGAGTGGAAGGGGGCGTTTAGCTGCATGGCCAGCACAGCTCCAATCAGCCCCTTCGGGTTTCTTTTACTTTTTCTTCTGCAAAAGGGAGCGGGAAGGAAGGGGGGGAGGAGAGAGAGAGAGGGGGGGGGAGGGAGGGAGAGAGAGAGAGAGAGAGAGAGAGTGAGAGAGAGAACAGGGCGCGATCCTACTGGGTAATAGATATCTGCTAGAATCAAAGGAGATTACATTCTGCGACCAGCGTGGACTTTCTCAGCTCCATCTGGTTTTAATCTGCTTTGGCCACTACCCTTTTATGGGGTTTAAGTGGGGGTGGGGAAAAGGAAAGATACCTGGATTATTATTATTTCTTTTTCTTGTCTTTTCTCCCCCCCCCCGTGGGATGCTCTGGCCAAGCATCGCCCAGCAGGCCGTTCCCGCAGTCTCGTTCTCTCTCCGCCGCCCTCCGCGGCTTTTCCTGGGTCTCCCCCCCCCCTTTTTTTTTTCTCCTTCCCTGCCGAGGGGACAGAAACCAACCCGAACCCTTCTGCTACTGTCACAACAAGCGGGCGGGGTGGGCGGCTCGCCTTTCTCTCGGGACCCCTTTGGCAAACGGGCGCTGCTGCGTGGCGAGATTTTTTCGCCTTCCCCCCCCCCCGCCTACCTCGGCAAGAGGAACAACCGACCCTGGCGTGGGCCCCGGGTGGCAGAAACACGGGGTCGCAGGTTCTTTTCCCTTCTCACGACCTCTTAAGAGAAACGGAAGAGGGAGAGAACTTTAGGCAGCCGGGTTGGTCCAGATGTGCAAATTCAAACCAGAGAGTTAGTTAAGCGCCTAATCCATAATTCGGTTTCGAGTGATGGTTTGTGATTGGCTATGTTATTGGAAGCAAGGCAGCGATGAAACGGGTAAGAGTCGTTTCGTTTCAAACAGAAGGATCCCGGGAAAGGCTCCGAGGCCAGAATACCTTCCCAGCAACCCTAAAAAGGTAGACAGGAGGAACTTTAAGTCCACCTGGCCCATCTCCATAACTGAGCTGTAATTTTAAGGTGCTCACTCCCCAGGCCGGGTCTTCTGCGGCCGCGGTGCTTGAGGAAGGAAAGAGAGAAGGGAATAGAGCAAATAAGAATTGGATTCCTCTGGAGTAAGAAAGGGGGGGTAGCTTTCTACCCCTTTCTTACCGCCCTACAGGCGGATCATTTATGGAGGGGGAAAATGTTTCGTGGGAAAATATCTATAATGATAATAACAACAATAACAGACATTAGTAAGAAGCTGTGAGGCAGGTAGGACAGCAAAGCAATGCCAAGTTTAGAAAAACTCTTTTTTTTCCCCACCTCTTCTTCGACAGATGGCTTTTGATTTATTTGGACTTCTTTTTAACTTCCTTATTCTCAGATTTGCTTATTCGAAATTTCCTTCCTCCCTTCGTCTTCTTCCTTCCTTCTTTCCTCCCTCCTCCCTCCCTTCCTTCCTCTCTCCTTCTCCTTCCTTCTTTCCTCCCTCCTTCCTTCCTCCCTCCCTCCTTTTCCTTCCTTCTTTCCTCCCTCCTTCCTCCCTCCCTCCTTCTCCTTCCTTCTTTCCTTCTTTCTTTCCTTCCTTCCTTTCTTCTTTTTCCTTCCTTCCTTCCTTCTTTCTTTCCTTCCTTCCTTTCTTCTTTTTCCTTCCTTCCTTCCTTCCTTCCTTCCTTCTTTCCTCCCTCCCTCCTTTTCCTTCCTCCTTTCCCCCTCCTTCCCCCCTCCCTCCTCCTTCCTTCTTTCCTTCCTTCCTTTCTTCTTTTTCCTTCCTTCCTTCCTTCCTTCCTTCCCTTCCTTCCTTCCTTCCTTCCTTCCTTCCTTCCTTCCTTCCTTCCTTCCTTCCTTCCTTCCTTCCTTCCTTCCTTCCTTCCTTCCTCTAAGTCTTTTTCATCAAGCGAGCGCATTCGCATTCCAGGGCAGGCCAGCCTGCGAGAGCGAGCTAGCGAGCGAGCGAGCGAGCGAGGACCCAGCCTGCAAGCGCCTTGCCATAAATCAAAAGAGAAATTGCGCTGATGGTGTATTTAGCAAATGAAGAAAGTTGGAGGTGATCTTTGCTAAACAGCTTGGCTGTTGATTGCCAGAGGCCGGCGCAATTGAGCCGGAAAGAGAAGAGGGGGGGGCGGGAGACAGAGAGAGAGAGAGAGAGAGAGAGAGAGAGAGAAGAGAGGGGGGGAGGGGGAGAGAGAGAAGAGGGGAAGGGGGCGTTTAGCTGCTTGGCTTTGGCCAGCCCAGCTCCAATCAGCCCCTTCGGGTTTCTTTTACTTTTTCTTCTCCCTTCCCTTCTTCTCCACCTCCACTCCCCGCCTCTCCCTCCCTCTTTCCTTCTCTTCCCCCCCCCCATCGCCGTCTCTCGCTCCACCAACATCCCCCCCCCGCGGAAGGCGGAGCCCGGGCGCGTTGCGTCGGAGGCGTCAGAATCCTCAGTTTCCAACTTCGCGTCTTGGCAGGACCTTTGGCGGAGCGCGCACAGGGAAGGGGGGCGGCGGGTGGGCGGTCAAGCAGCCAGGCGAGAGAGAGAAGGAGCGAGCCGGGAGCCCGAGAGGAGAAAGCGCCCCTTTCCTCGTCCAGCGGAGGGAGCGAGGAGAAGAAGACGCCTGCAAAGGAGGAGGAGGAGGAGGAAGAGGAGGAGGAGGAAGAGGAGGAGAACGGGGGCGAGGGGGGGGCGAAAGGTGCCGCGCGCCGGAGACTCCAGCCAGAGCCGCTGCGAAGGGGCGGCGGCGAAGAGGGGCTTCTCCGCCCGTCCGCCCCCCGTTGGCAGAGGCGCCCGCCGACGACGCGCTCCGCAGAGAGCCCAAGACCCGAGCGCCCAAGACCCGAAGCTCGGAGCGGCGCTGCGCTTTGGCGGCGGCGGCGGCTGCTGCGGGGCTGGCTGGGGCTGGCTGGGGCTGGCTGGCCGGCGGAGCTCTGCCAGCAGCTTCCGGCCATGTCGTATCCTCAGGGTTACTTGTACCAGCCGTCCGCCTCGCTGGCCCTCTACTCTTGCCCTGCCTACAGCACCAGCGTGATCTCCGGTCCGCGGACGGATGAGCTGGGCAGATCGCCGTCCGGCTCGGCTTTTTCCCCCTACGCCGGCTCCACCGCCTTCAGCGCTCCCTCGCCCGGCTACAACTCGCACCTCCAGTACGGCACAGACCCGGCGGCGGCGGCGGCGGCCGCGGCTGCCTTCTCCTCCTACGTGGTAAGAACGCCCGCTCCTTCCTTCCTTCCTTCCTTCCTTCCTTCCTTCCTTCCTTCCTTCCTTCCTTCCTTCCTTCCTTCCTTCCTTCCTTCCTTTCTCTCTTCCTCCTTCCTTCCTTTCTTTCTCTCTTCCTTTATTCCTCCTTCCTTCCTTCGTTCCCTTCCTTCCCTTCCTTCCTTCCTTCCTTCCTTTTTTCCTTCCTTCTTTCCTTCCTTCTTTCCTTCCTTTCTTTCTTCCTTCCTTTCTTTCTTTCTTCTTCCTTCCTTCCTTCCTTCCTTCCTTCCTTCCTTCCTTCCTTCCTTCCTTCCTTCCTTCCTTCCTTCCTTCCTTCCTTCCTCGGCGCAGGCTGGAAGGAGGCAGGAGTGGGCAGGGGGCTTGGGCGAGAAGGGACCCCCGGAGTCAGGAGCCAAGGGGAGGCGGAGAAGACGCCCGGAGCTCGGGCTTTCCTTGGGGGCCTTGCAGAAACGGCTCTGGCTGCAGGGAAAGGACGCCGGGAACGGAGAGAAGGCAAGCCGGCAGTCTGGAGGCTCCGGGCCTTTCCTTACGAAGTCTCGGGCCCACCGGCTTCTAATAGCCGAAGACAAGGGGCGTCCGGTCCTGCTTCGTCTCAAATGGGGGCAATTCTCCCCTTAACGGGAGACCCCCTCAAGGGGGAAAATGCTGCCGGTTCGCCTCCCGCAAAAGCCTAAGCAGTTCTTGGCTGCATCAGCCCGTTTATTCGAGAGTACGAGGGGAACCCGTAGGCGAAGCGGGTCGGCTGGGTTGAGAAGCTGAGCGCCCGGCTCGGTCGGGTTAGAAGCTAAAGGGGGAAGGGGGGGAAGGGGTTTTTTGGCAAATCGGAGAAAAAGAAAGAGAAAGAAAGAAAGAAGAGAAAAATAAATAAAGAACGAAAGAAAGAAAGAAGAGAAAAAGAAAGAAAAAAGAAAGAAAGAGAAAGTGGAGAGAGAAAGAAAGAGAAAGAAAAAAGAGAAAGAAAAAGAAAAAGAGAAAAAGAAAGTGGAGATAGAGAGAGAAAGAAATGGAGAAAGAGAAAGAAAAAAATGGAAAGAGAGAGAGAGAGAGAAAGCGAGAGAAAGAAAGAAAGAAATTAAATTTAGGGTGCCGCCTGGTTAGCTTTTCAGAGATTCCCACCCCATCACTTTATTTTTTGTACGTGCACGTCGGAACACGGCGCTCCCACCACCCGCTCCCATCCCCCTGACCTCCTTTGAATTCAAGTCAGGTCAAGCAGTTTAGATGCCCATCAGTTTGGCTGCCGAGAAGGGGACGAGGGGGGGGAGGCGGCGGAGGGGGGGGGGAACCGGTCAGATTTCGCCCCTCGCCCTTTCTCAGCTTCTGCTGCTGTTAAATCCAAGATTCCCGCAGCATCAGGTCGGTAAACAAATCAGCACCGCCTCACTCGTATTAAAATATAGTGGTTTTTTTTAAAAGGTGTGTGTGGGGGGAGATTTGCGAAGCCACTTATACTGCTCTGAGTTAGGGGGTCACTGCCGAAGTGTACCCGGGAATTTTTTTTTTTTTTTTGCACGAGACGAAGACAGAGAAATAAAGCAAAAAAAAAAAAAAAAAAAAAAAAAAAAAAAAAAAAAACCCCCCCGCGTTTCTCTTCGCCCTGCGGACCTGCCTCCGGCGCTGCCTGCCTTTCCTGGGCTGCGCACAACCCAAATCCATTTTTTAAGGCAACCGCCTTAGGCCTCGGGGGGGGGGGAGCGAACCCCCACTCCGTTTGAATCCGATTTAGCTGGGCTTTCAAACCAGACGTAGCTGAGCCCGGACTTTTTCCTCTTCGTCCTTTTTCTTCTGCAAGGATTCCTTTTCGCCCCCCCCCCCTTTCCACTTGATTGCCACCAGCTCCCCAGTGGTGGTGGGTTGGTGGTGGGGGGGGTAAATGAAAACAAAACCTGGACGGGAGAGTTTGGGCGAAAGGGTGCCTTTAATTAAAGGGGGGGGAGAGGCGGGGTGTAATTTGTTGCTGTTTACAGGCGGATAATCCGGCGTAGAGGGAAGTCGGGGCGGCGGGTGAGTTTGTGTGGGGGGGGGCGGGGGTCAGGAAAGCTGTAGCAAAGGTGTCAAAAATGCTGTTAGGGGCGAGCGGGCTCTTCTCTGCCTGCGTTCAGACGTTCCGGCGACCCGCGTGATGGACCTTATCAAGGTTTTTTTTGTGTGTTTTGTTTCCTTTTAGGCCGGTTTCTGAGTTGCTATTATTATTTCCCGTGTGGGTCGTTGTTATAGTTATTGTTATTATTGGAGTGGAAGGGGAGGGTGGGTGGTGGGCAGGAGAAAAGGTCCCTTAAAAACAGAGGTCGTAATATTATCCATCCCAAGCGGTGGGGCTTTGGGGCAAGGCGCGGGGGGGGGGAAAACCCCTTCTCCCTCCTCGGCCTTGCTTCTGCTCCTCTTCCTCCCTTCTCCTTCTCGTTTCTTGCAGGCCTCGCCCTACGACCACAGCCCCGGCATGGCGGGGTCCTTGGGGTACCACCCCTACGCCGCCCCCCTGGGCTCCTACCCTTACGGGGACCCGGCTTACCGCAAGAACGCCACGCGGGACGCCACGGCCACGCTGAAGGCCTGGCTGAGCGAGCACCGCAAGAACCCCTACCCGACCAAGGGCGAGAAGATCATGCTGGCCATCATCACCAAGATGACCCTCACCCAGGTCTCCACCTGGTTCGCCAACGCCCGCCGCCGCCTCAAGAAGGAGAACAAGATGACCTGGACGCCGAGGAACCGCAGCGAGGACGAGGAGGAAGAGGAGAACATCGATCTGGAGAAGAACGACGTCGAAGACCCCACCAAACTGGAGGAGAAGGGCGACCCCGAGACGGGCCAGCACGGTAAGAGACGCCACCCTCTGCCCCTGACCCCAAACGCAGCTGGGTTGGTTTCCGCGCTTGGAGGCCTTGGAGAGGACCGTTTCCTCTCCAAGGTGGGGACCTGTGTGTGTGCGCGTGTGTGTGCGTGTGTATAGAAGCGTGGGGTGGTGGGTCTCCCCACTTAGTGGTCGGGGTCCTCTGGAGGGGGCTGAGAATGCTAGGCCTCTGGTCCCTTGAAAGGCGCAAGGCCTGTCCTGGAACAGCTTTTAGTAAGCCCAGGAAAGAGGCCTGGGGGCTTTCTGTATTCTCACGGTCCGCTCCAGCAGGTCGAGTGAGGGGCCTCATTCACACGACCGAGAAACTTGGGGTTGAGAAACTTGGGTTTGTTTTTTTTTTTCCCAGGGGAGATAACTTAGACGGCTTAGCCGGTTCTGCCAACCCGGCCTCTGGGGGGGGGGGGATCAACCTTTCTCGGCCGGTCTGCTGGGTGGGGGGTGGGGGGGAGGATGTGGGGGAGAGGGAGGGAAGCAGACAAGAGGCCCGTCTTCAGGTGTCAGGTTCAGGGGTTGTGTGAAGGCGAAGCACTGAAGCCGCAGACTGAGGACGGCTCCGGGCCGTTTCTCCGGATTTTTCTCCTCCGCAGACTCGAAAGGCGTCGGAGGGGGCAAAGAAGCCGACGGGACCTCCAGCGACTCGGATTGTAAAGAAAGCCCCGAGCAGACGCTTCGGAAAGAAGCCGCCGGCGCCGCTTCACCGCCTTTGGCGCACTGCGGCTCGGCCGGCCGGCTGCTTCTCCAGGCTCACCACCAGCAGCTCTTGCAGGCCGGGGCCGAGGACCCCCCGCCGCCCCCTCCTCCTCCTCCTCCTCCTCCTCCTCCTCCTCTTCCTCCTCCCGCCCAGTACAGACCCCCTTCGACGGACCTGCCCCCCAGCCACGCCACCTCGGTCATCCACACGCCCCAGGCGCCTCCGCAGGCGGCCGGCCCGGGGGCTCTTTCCAAGCCCAAGCTGTGGTCCCTGGCGGAGATCGCCACCTCCGTGGACAAAGGCAAGGAAGCGGGGGGCAGCGGCGAGACCCCCCCGCAAACGCCTTCGGGCTTCAGCGGGCCGGCGGCCCAGTCCCCGACGGCGCGCTCGCCTTCTTCTTCTTCTGCCGCCGCCGGCCCCCCCTGCCCCTTCCCCAACGGCGCCGCCTCGGTGCTCCCGCGACCCCTTTACTACGCCACCAGCCCCTTTTACCCCGGCTACACGAACTACGCTTCCTTCGGACACCTTCACGGCAACGCGGCGGCCCCCCCGGCCGGCGCCCCCGGCCCCCACTTTAACGGATTAAACCAGAGCCTTTTGAACAGAGCCGAAAGCTTGGCGAAAGACGCGAAAGTGCTCCGAAGCCAGAGCCACTACGAGCTCAGCAAAGAGTCGCCTTACGAACTCAAAAAAGGTACGTCGCACATTTAATCTCCGGCTTGAGCTCAGCTCCGGGACTTTTGGGGACTTTGGGGGGGGGGGGTCGGGCCCGCCCTGGATTCGAGGGGAGAGAAAGTTGCACCCCCATTCGCCCCCACCGCCCCCCACCCCTTTCCGCCGCTCTTTCGGCGATTTCTTCTTTTTTTTTCCCTTTCCATTTTTTTTTCTTTTTTTAAAAAATCGGGGGCGATTTTTCGACGTTTCTTTCCAATCGACCCCGGTCTTGATTGGGTGTTTTTTTTTTTCTTTTTTGCCCTCCATCCACTGCCAAAATGGGGGAGGGGGAAGAAAGGGTGAAAGAGAGAGAGAGCGAACGAAAGAGAGTGTGAGAAAGAAAGAAAGAAAGAAAGAAAGAAAGAGAAAGAAAGAAAGAAAGAAAGAAAGAAAGAAAGAAAGAAAGAAAGAAAGAAAGAAAGAAAGAAAGAAAGAAAGAAAGAAAGAAAGAATATAAAAAAGAGAAAGTTCTGGCCGGTTTCCCAATCAGCTTTATAATTTATTTGAAAACGCAGCTTTTAGAAGTCTTACACAGAACTTGCAAGACGTGATGGGTATGTGGAGAAACTCTCGCACGCGGGGGGGGGGGAGAAACCAGAGACTATTTGTATGAAATCTTATTCTGTATATTTAATGTAGCTTTTTTTGTATTTAAATCGGTTATACGGTATCTTTGAAGTAAATTATGAAATGCAACCACTTGTACAGCCACCATGTCGCTTTTTGGTCCTCTATAATATAGTTATCTATAAATATAGATATATACACATACACACACACACACACGTTGCGTTGGTGACTTCTCCCGAATTGTTTTATATACGCGCCTGTGTGTTTGTGTATCTATCTGCATATTGAATTATTAGTAGCCGAATATTATCTGAAATTAATAGCTTTCCATGCGGAAAGCTAGTCAGGCTGTGCTATGGGGTATATAAATCACAGACGCCCCTCAGTCCAGTGTGAAGTCAAACCATAGATTTATTTTTATATGCATTAAAATGGAGGAAAAAAAATACATTTTGAAAAGAAATACCGACCATTGGGGGGGTGGTGGTGGCAATCCGAATGCAACAAAGAAAGAAAAAAAAAAGGGGGGGGGAACGAATAAAGAAAATATTCTAATGAATTCTTCCACCTTGTTCACGATGAGAACGCGAAAAATTATCATTATTGCCAGTAGCCGGAAAGTAAAGTTGGGGGTGTTTGTAGTCCCAGATTTGGGGAAAGTTGCCCAAGTAATGGATTTTTGGGGGTGTGTGTGGGGGGGTGTATGCGTGTAAGGGGCCAGTGACGGTTTTGAGAGATATTTCACCTGGGCGGATTTTACACAGGCCAAAGGACTCTTCAAATTGTGCTGATTTCAATTTGAAATGATAGCCCCCCCCCCAAAAAAAAGCCGCATCATTTGAAACGGCCTGGGGGCTACTACCGTTTTGGTCGTGTGAACGCGGTGGCCCAGCCTCAGATTTCGACTTCTGATACGATCTGGGCAAGATTTTGAGGGTGAATCGCTTCTTGGGAACCGACGGGGGTGCTCGCTTCGGGACGCCGGCCCCCTGCCTAAATTTGGGGGTCGTTGGGGGGGTTGGGGGGGAGAGGAAAGAAGCGCTGTAAGAGGGGCTAAAAACGAAAGAAGCCGCCGCTTCTGAGGAGCCTTTTGCCCGCGAAGGAGATTCGATTTTACAGCCGATTTCTCTCGAGTGGTTTCCCTGCGCTAGAATACACGGAGGAGCCGCGAGGTTGTGTGAATCGGTGCCCGCGTGGGCTGGAGCGCCGTTCCTTTCCTTGCTCGGGGCGGCCTTCTCTCTCTTTCTTTCCCCCTCTGGGGTCCGGCTCAACTTTGCAAAATCGGGGGGGGGGGAGAGGCTAAAACGATTGCGCCCTCCGCCCCATTAGCTCCATTCCGCCCCAGGCGCGGACGGGGACTTCTGCGGGGGGGGGGGCGCGCAGATGAGTGCGAGCAAATGGAGGGTGAGTAGGGTCGCCTTGGACCGCTTCCCAAATTCACAGGTAGGTGTCAGACTTGTACCGAATTTCAAACGGAGCCCTTCCGACTCCGTGCAAGGGAGACAGAGCCCAGGTTACACACACACACACACACACACACACACACACACACACACACACACACACACACACACACACAAATGTCCCCTGCCCCCGAAATAATGGAACTAAAAAGAAGCGCCTTTGCCATCCAGTTCTCTCCAACGGCAGGTTGAGACTGGAAGATCCGAAAGATAAATCTCCGATTTATTTAATCGTTTTGAACAGGGCAAACATTAACCCCTTCGGTTCTTATTTAAACTCTCTCTCTCTCACACACACACACACACACACACAGTGCAAGATCATCTGAGGCCCCCAGTTGCCTTTCGGCTCTTCGGCTCCCTTTTTTTTTTCTGAGAGGGGCGCAGGTCGGAACCTCCAGGCTTTATGCGGCCCCTCCCCAAAACCCCTTTGAGGGCAATCCCCAGGCCTTCTCAGAGGCTTTATCTATTTATTTCACTGAAGGGAAGGAAAAAGACCAAACGCAAGCCTGGACGACCGTCTTTACAATATCGAATATTATGTTGAGAGGTGATCAAAAATGAAGTCCGGGTTGTTTTATGGCCTGGTTTGACTCCTCTATTTGTGGGCCTGTTTTCCTCCCCGTCCGCCTCCCCCGCAGACCATTTAAATAGCAAATGTTTCTTGGAGACCACAAATGCTTCCTCCTTCCTGAGTTTAGAAGGAAGGCTGAAAACCATTCGTTCTTTTCCTGGAAACAAGAGAAAAAGGGAAGGAAGGAAGGAAGGAAGGAAGGAAGGAAGGAAGGAAGGAAGGAAGGAAGGAAGGAAGGAAGGAGAGAGGGGGGGGAGAAAGGAAAAGAAGATTTTCTTTCAGAAGATGGGGTGATCTTGTGTATTAAGGCGTCCGGCTGGGGCCCCAAAGAAACAGAAGGAAGAGGAATCATGGCCCTTGCAAATAGATCCCAGTAGAGGCTGATCCCAGCCTCGGTTAATTCTACTGGGATCTATTCTTAAGGCAATAGAACTGTGCTTCTTTCCCTTAAGGCGGGGGCCTGAGAGACGCCGCTTTACTTGCGAGTAAACCTCCATTGAACGCCTGGCGGCCGGGTCTGAAGTTTGTCTTGGGTTCGCGTGTAGAAGGAGACGAGGCAACACCCTCGCTGTGGAAAATACGTCCGAACGCCGTCGCGGTTAGCTGTCTAAATGGTCCTAGCTTAGGTTAGCGCGACTCCTGGCGTGTGAGTGTGGCGCGCGTGTAAAATAACCCCCGTTCCCTTGGAGTAAAGAAGCAGAGGATCGGGTGCCTTCGGGCCTTCGTCCCCGCCTCCCTGCTTTAGGATCCACAATGGATTTCCGCACCCCCCCCCCCAAAAAAAAAGTGACCCAGGAAGCAACGGCCGCTCTTGTGCAAGGAGGGTTGGGCGGTTGTTAGTTCCTGGCAACTTTAGTCGCCCCTTTCGTAGCTCTGGGGCGTTTCTGGGGAGCACGGAGGTCCCTTGGCTAGTTGAGATCCTTCGCGCGTCGACTTGGCGTTTGCGCGCTTATCTTAGACGGGTAAATGCTCCGCGGTGGCTTCAAACGGTTCCCCCCGACCCGCCTAATGAGCTGTTAATTAGCTGAGCCTCGGCTATTCAACTGTTCAAACTACCCCATGCGTCCCACCCGCTCTTTCCCTGACTCTCAGGGTGGCTGTGAAGCCATTTGTCACACCAGCACAACGCCGGGTCGGGTTCCCACGACGCAGGGACTTGCAATTCCCTCCCCCCACCCCCACCCCCAGGTTCAACCTCAAACGTTGTGGGGCCGAAGCGCTGAAGGTTACGTTCGGGTCCAGCTCCTCCTCTTCCTCGGACGATCTGAGTCAACCGGGATTCAGTGAACCCCGAGTTAAAGTAGTGTGGGAACGCAGAGCGATTTCAACCCTGCAAACCGGCTTTTAAAGAAATTTTACACTAGTTGGAGCTGCACAGGAGCGGCGTTGTCCAGATCATTCTGATCTGTTTATAAAAATTTAAAGAAGGACCGCAAAGCGAGGGCCAAATCGGTTGTCTAAAAAGTTGAGAAAAGACGCGGGGGGAGGGGAGGGGGGAGTCAGTAGCCAAAGGAAACATACAGAATTCGGTTTCGTCCCAAACGAATCGGATGGCTTTGCTTTCTTCGTTTAAAGGAGGGAAACGCCGCCTTTCTCCGAAGGAACGAGGGGGGGGGGGTGACCTGCGTCCAGTGGCAATTCAGACGAACACCTTGGGAGCCCAAAGTCAAGCTGTTTAAAATAAATTTAATATATATATAGAGAGAGAGAGAATACCGGCGCGCGTTTGAATGCGAAGGCTGTTGCAAAAGGAAGCTCGTTTAACTTCGCGGTTGCTTGTCCCGGTATGGAATGGAGTGGGTGTACCCTTCCTTTCCAAATTCGGGGAAAAACTATTCCAAAGCCCGGAGGGCAAGATTGGAGATAGTCAGGAAAGCCGAGGACGCTTTTGCATACAATAAGATGGGTATTAAATAGCTCCTATTAGCCGTCTGCGTTGAATGTGTGTTTTGATTTGTATCACGCCTGTATCATTATTTTTACAAATAACTCAAGGCGTTGAACTATCCAACACACCCTTCTCCTCCTCCTCCTGTTTTCCCCGCCACAACAACCCTTGGGAGGGGAGTTGGGCAGAGCGAGAGTGACTGGCCCAAGATTCCCCCAGCTGGCTTTCATGGCTAAAGCGAGACTCGAATCCAGGATCTCCCGCTTTCTAGACTGATGCCTTAAACTACTACTAGACCAAATTGTCTCTTAAATGCGCCGTCTTTCTATGGCAATAAACTCACTTCCTTTCTGGTCTTCGTGGCCTGGGTCCGCTTTGTTTAATCGAAGCTTCACAAGAATTGCTGCAAAGGATTTATTATCTCCCTCTTATGGACTTCCTCCCCCAATGAAAACTTAATTAGCACGACGCCCCCTTGCCTACATCTAACAACCGCATTAAGTGTTTTGGGGAGATTACTGATCTTTTGGAGATGGGTTTTGTAGTGCGTAAAAATACGGGGACACTTCATCCCGCCGATCGCATTTCTCCTCTTGGCCTGAAACCGCCCAAAATCTATCAAATTAGGATCTGCTTCTCCCCCCCCCCCTGCAATTTAGGTTTTTCTGAAGAGTTTTGCTTCCCTGTTGAAATGCTTTGGAGCGCCTCGGGGTCTCCCGAAAGCAAATCTTCAGAAAATTTCTAATAAATCACCGGGGCGGTTAAGTTTGGTCCGGATGAAATTGGGGCGCGATTGTCACAAAGCGAGACAGTCTCTCGAGTGGCAGACGCGACGTGTGAACGCAGGACCCAGGAGCCGAAGAAGAAAATGTCCTTTCATTATAAAACCAGGGGGAAAAAGTAGATTTAGTGGAGTTTATCGCAGAGCAGAATAGTTTTAAAAGGCGGCGAGGCTGTTTCAACATTTTGGACCTGTGAGGATGGGTGAGGCTTGAAGTTTTGGCCTTTACAAGCAGTGAACAATATCAGGAGAGAGACGTACTAATTGGAAAGATTCCCACCGTACACGTCAACCTGAACACGGGTTAAGAAGTCACCGTTGGCGAGGCGACTTGACAGACACGCTATGTTTCACTTCTGATCCACGGGAAAATAAAGAAGTAAGCGTGAAGTTCGTGCCACCTGCTAGCACTGACCCTGGGTTGGTAAGCAG